TCATCATTTTAAGTGGGGGAACTTGCACAATCGGTGGCTGACTAAATACTTTTTTGCCCCACTGTATGTGTCCATAAACAATTAATCCCACAAGAGAAGTTGCTCCGCTTCTGCTTACTTGAAATTCCATTTGCACAGGAAGCATGTCCCATGCATACAAGCACAGGCAACCATGTAGAGGTGAATACATCTAAGGGTAAACACCAGTAACAATAACAGTTAGACTCCATCTGGTTCCAGAAAGTTAAAAAACGTTTAACCTGACCCCTCCTTAAAAAAACATTAGTCCCTGCTCTGTGTACATCAGGCCACGGATCAGTAACACAGGAGATGAGTTAAATGGAGTTACAATCAAATGGAGAATCTGATAAAGATTTGACCTCTCAGTTTTTCTAGCAGCGGATAATGGTATCCTGATTTCACACACTGATACAGGTACCAACTATCATCAGCTCAGTATTCAGCCAGGTCGCTGTTGCTACATACGCAGCACTGAAAATGTGATGACCCAAGCTTCTGTTTCTATCATGTATCCGAGCTTATTTAGCTCTGAGCCCTTAAAAATACCTGTTGTTCCCAAATCTATACAATGACACAAACCTTGTCTTGCTACTAACTCAATGTTTTACTTTGGTTCTGTGTAGGTAGCAATGAGTGTTAAACCCAAAGCATTTCACAGAAAACTGGATAGGGGAATGTGCAGGGAGTTTTACAACCACAGCAGTCCCGCTGAAGCCTCCTCACTCTTCTCTTCCTTATTTGTTCCTCTCCTTTGTCTCTCTTCCTTTTATAACCAAAGGAACAATGTTGGCAAGGCAACAAAGAGGAAATACTTGGGACAGCTAAAGCATGAACCAGGATATGTTCTCAGTTCTTAGTGATATGACAGCTAGCTGGATGGGAGCCTTGCTCCCATTTTTCACTTTAGAATTAGAAAAAAATTGCAGTAATGGAAGCATCAAGACAAAGGGTGAACTTTAAAAGGTTGGAGAATATGCTAATGACTCAGACCATCTCCTCTGCACTGTCTCCCCTGAGCTCAGCAGGTGGAGGCTCAGTGAACCCAGAAATGGAAATGAAACCTTTAGAGATCTACCTAGTCTTAAGTAATTGTGGCTGAGCCCTGCAAAGTGGAGTCAGACAGGTTGCCGTGTGAGGCAGCTGAGAGATAGGTCAGTTGCCCTCTTCTGGGCTCATACAGTGACTCAGACACTCATTATGACCACAAGCAGTGATATTTTGTTACTCACGCTCTCGACTAGTTTGCTAAAATATCAGAATTTTTGTGCACGCATGAGAAGGGATATTTCCTTTCTTTAGCAGTGTTTGAGTTTTTTGCTGCTCTTTACCTGAAGTGTGCCTTGATGTTGCTGGGACTTGAGGAGCGGGTCTGCACATCCTTCTCCTGCTTCTCCCTCAGGATTCTTTCTGCTAGCAGGTAGTATGTAGCTGTGATGTGGTTGTATTTGTTGGTCTCTAGGGCTCTGAAACAACAAATCACACTTTAGGACCATATAAAGTAGACAGCATGTTGGATTAAAAAAAAAAAAAAAAGGGACAGAGTTGAGAACTCATTTTAGCTCTTGGGCTACATACATTCTAACTTCATCTCAAGCAAGTTGAACCAGTAAAACCACCACATGACAATGTATATTTAAAAAAAAAACCCAGTGAACATAGTTTTGCTTGCATGTGTAAAGTGTAAGGAAGTATAAGTGCATTCTGAAAATATTCACTTGGGCATTAGCCAAAGTTTTCTGAAAGCTGAAACCAAAAGACCAAGTGAAACATGCTTCTCTAAGCATTTACCAGATAACAGAAGTTACAGGTGATCCATTTACAAAAATCCTGAGATACACTGAGACACATAAGTGCAATTTCAAAAAAGAAAATCCAGTTTTTCCCTGTCATCTTCAGACAGTGAACTCGACAATTGTGCTGCAAAGATCACAAAGTCCCCTGACAGTGCTGCATTTTCCACAGACACAACACAGACGATTATGAAGCATATATATTTTAGGTATAAATGTGTAATTGAATGTCCTTACGCTGATAGAAAGGAGTTTAACTAATCCAGCCCACTTAATTAAAAGGTGTGCTGTGTGAGGCCCTTAATGTAAAATGAGCTTGACGATGACGCTGGCTCAGAGCAATGAGTTCTCTAAATTTACATTGTACCTCTGACAGCAGAACGATCTTTGAGATTCACAACCAGACACTAAAACAGGCAATGTTGTCAGAGTAATCCTGGGAATGTACAGGGTGCGCATCTATGACATAAGAGTATATGAATTGGTTTTGTTCTGGCCCTTGCATAATTTCATAAATGGGCCATGTATTCTATAAAGGGTCTTTGAAACTTGTTGGTACACTATGACTTTCCTGTGTCTCATTTCTTCCCTTCCTCGTATACTGTGTGCAGTGCAGTTGATGGGTGTGGAATTTTTGAAAAGGGACACGGCACAAAGAGTTGCTTCTGAAACACAGTGCAGTGCATTTGGTAACAACATCACTGAGATATCATTAGCCAGTGACACTGCCGTTTCACAGTAACAGCTTCCCCTCATGTGGTCAACTTCTACAGAACTATATTGAACTAATTTTAATTTCACACAAAGCAGCTCAAAACAACAGGAAAATGTTTAAAGAAGTACATATATTTTAGAATGGTTTTATGTATTCAATGGGTATCAGCCTACTTTGTTCTTTGATGTGGATTACTGTAAGCCAGATCACTCTTTGCTGTGTGTGAATGACATGGAGTGTGATTCCGTGCTTTTGCTGGTACAGGTTGTACAGTGTCTCTCCCTGTCTAGCTTTATCTACAGTTCACCACAAAAACTAAGTTGATGTACATGTCGGACTTGGAACTAATAAACCTTGAACAACCAATCCTTTTACTGACACCAAGGAAGGAGAGAAGTCTTTAGAATCATGGTTAAAACGAGAAAAAGAGCCCATGTCTACACCATCAGAATTTGCATAAGCTTGGTGAACAAGTCAGACATAAATATACACTTTTACATTACATTTTCTCATGGTGCTCATCAATATACAGTACATATTACAATCAAACAGAGCAATCACACCCACTAAGGTCTGCATTGTTGTGATTTATAGTTTCATTTCTGGGACTGTGCACATCAGGATACAGCCTAAGGTTCAGCTTAAAATCTAGGCTTATGCTAAAGCTTTGCCTACACTGTAGACTTGCAGTACACTGTAAAGATGTCACAGGGTGGAATGGTCAAGTTTAACTTGGTGTTTTTATTTCCTTGCATGTAGTGCTGTGTTTTATTTTTTTATTATCTTTTATTAGCGTGTAGTGTTTTATTTTTGCGAGGTTATTGCATGCTTTTTTGTTTTGATATGTGATTTGTTCCGGGGGGGGGCGCATTCCACCGCCCCTCCTGATCATTAATCTGACACACCTGGGACCAATCAGGGTTCGCCACAGCTATTCAATAATAGGGAGAGAGAGAGCGTGAGAAACATCAGGAGAAACATGGCGTGGTAACCGGGGTTGGCGACGGCCGCGCAGAGCAGCACGGAGGCCCGGCTACAGGCAGCTGACCGGGGCGTGCGGCAAAGGAGAACGGGACTGGAGATCGCAGACAACTGCGCATTGGAGAGAGTGATCGGGGATGTGCAGAGCGGTCTGTGTTGGTGCTGAGGGGAGCTAGCTCCTCGGTGAGAGAGGCCCATGGCAAGGGATTGAGAGGCAGCGGGATGGCGCCTTATGTCCCTGGGACGGCGAGACCATGGCTATGCGTGTGAAGCACAGCAAAGTGGCAGGCAGAGTTTGGAGCTAAGTCCCAATCAGTCCCATGTAGGACGAATCTCCGGTGGAATCAAAGAATGGTGACTGCTGCTGCCCCTCTCTCCTTTTAGTTGGCATCAGAACGAAGAGGCAGACAGGACGGTGACGATGCTGCCGGTTTCTGCACCATTTGGACTTTTATTGGACTTTATCTTCGTGGCTGAGGCCATTGGATTTTAGCTGTATTGTTTTAATGTTTTTAATTTCATGTTCTACCTGGCCAGAGTATTTTAGTGTTTTCTTGTAAATAAATTATAGTTTTAACAACGTGAGTTTATATTTTCTACTTCCTTGGCTCCTCCACTGCTCTTCCCATTAGAAGGTTTTCCCTTCTGTTTTAACCTACCACCTACATCTACAGCATCTCTCATTACTCAGTGTGCAAAGATGCACCTAAGCCAATATCTGTCTGCACCTTATCAGTGTTAAAGCAGACTGATAACACTACATTAACTGCAGCATTAATTTATAAAAATAAATAAATAAATAGTAATTTCCTCTGGCTATTTCCGTTAATAAATGTGCTGCATCTACTTTTTTTTTTTTTTTTTTTTTTTTAAATCGAGTGTATTAAAGGTTATTCAAATCTTGTTGTCAGGGCTGTTACTGAATGAACACACTTGTTAAAGCGGCGCTCTACATTAGAAGCCATTTATTTGTCACACATCGCTTTGAAGCTAATGGCAGGTCGCTTGTCGACATTCCACACTCCGGTTGCCTAGGTGACTATCTGAATGATGTCAGTCAACAGTATTCTTCACTTTCAAATTTATCTCAGGTCCCACCCACTTCATGTTGCCTGCAGTCATTTCGCCCGTAGTCCTTTGCACTCATAGAATGTCATTCAATTTTTGCTTGATCACCATTTCGCTTTCACTGTGTGTTTAGATTTAGAAGATTCATGCAGCAGATTGATGCTGCATGAAACTCATGAAAGAGGAGAGTGGAGGGTGTGGATTAAAGCCTAATTGCAGTAACAACATCACACACACTGACACAACACATCCATCAGAAATCAATGCTCCCTACAAACACAGAAAATATTTGCAGCTTTCATAGAAACAAAGAACTTGATCTGACAGTGCTTCAATAACTCAGTATTGAATAGAGCAGGGGTGGGGGAACTCCAGACCTCTAGAGCCGGTGTCCTGCAGGTTTTAGATGCGTCCTTGATCCAACACAGCTGATTTAAATGGCTAAATTACCTCCTCAACATGTCTTGAAGTTCTCCAGAGGCCTGGTAATGAACTAACCATTTGATTCAGGCGTGTTGACCCAGGGTGAAATCTAAAACCTGCAGGACACCAGCCCTTGAGGCCTGGAGTTCCCCATCCCTGGCATAGAGAAAAGTCAAAACACTGATGTTGCATTTGGGTACCACCAAAATATGATCTGTTTCCTGCTAACATATGTAACGCTCAGGGCTCAACTTTACACAGTAGAAAGCTATTAAAACTAGCACCGGTATGAATTAACACTGTATCACCCAGCACTGTATTACCCAGGGGTTTGACCCCTGCTGGGTTACTTTTATGTGGTGTTTACAGATATCCCTGTGCCTGCGAGGGACCCTTCCAGGTATTCCAGTTTCCTCCCACAGTGCAAAGACATGGAGTTGGTTAACTGGTACTAAAGCACCTGTGGGTGTGAAATATAGAATAAAACACTTTATGCATGCATGAATAAATGTGACTTGTGGTCTAAAATGCTTTGAATTGTCAATTAGTCTAGAAAAGTCTTATAAATATGCCAGTCCATTTGCATGTTTTGGAACATCTCCACATACTTAGAAACCTAACTGTTGCTGATAAGCTTCATCATAACTGTGTGGAACTCTGCTGGCAAGGTCTTCATTTATATACAACTTTAAATCAACAAAAACAACAACAACAAAAACTCTCAATGCCTCTTTCTCTTCAAAGGCTAGCATCCCCACACATACAGAGATATTCTTCTTTACTCTATCACACCACAGGTAATATCTTCACAGCAGGAGGTAGCAGTGAACTGCAAGTCTGTCAGAAACAAGTGTGAACTTGAAATCTTGACTCTGAAATCAACAGATGTTCTGTTTAATTCCTCTTACGTTCTGCTTCTCAGTATGTAAGCACACACCAGGCTTCTCTGAGGGCTGGAAGGTAACGAGCTGATGCTTCTTTGAGTTAAACATCTGTCAGGATGCTCTGGGCTTTGTGCTGATGCGTGCTGTGTTAGTTGGCTCCTTGTACAATTGTACATTAAAGTGAAACAGGTTTCACAATGGCAGACTGCTTAGTGCCGTTGGTGTCATTTTTATTTAAGTTTCAAAAGTTATAGGCTAATCTGTTCATTGACCCCCTCCTCAAAAATAAAGCATCAATCGGCACTGATGATGCTTGTGTTGGTCTAATGAGTTCCGTTTCAAATAAGGTTTCCTGATGAGTTTGCAAATGATATCAGTTTTGAAGTGAGAGACAATTTCCCCTTAATCACCTACTTTTAAAATGAAGTGCAGCCAAAACATTTAAGGGTTCACTGAACAGCATTTTATAAAAAGAGGTTCTAAAAAGGCAAACAGCTCCCTCATCTACAAATGCTCATCAGTAAAATCTTTAAAGTTGACTTTGAGTGATCACTAAGAGCAGAGAACACCCTATAAAAATGTGATCTGTTGTGGTTTCACTGTGCAAACACCAGAGAAAAAGCTGAAGCACAACTTACTCGACTATGGTCTCCCGATCTGCAATGTCTCCCAGCACCATGCGCTGGATGATGCTGTTATGTTCCTCCTCTGACAGGTTTTTGTGAGAGACCAGGGGAGTGCTATACTTGGTGGCTGGGGATGGGTCCACACCCTGCAGCCAGGCATGGCTCTCAATCTCCTCAAGGGAGGCTCGTTGTTTGGGATCCCTCTGAAGCATGCGGTCTATCAGACTGAGGAAAATGAGAAAAGGAGAGAGGGGAAAACACACTTAAATCAAATCCGGTTAAAGTATCACTTTAAGTATGGCTTTAAGTGGTCTCTGACTAGTTGAATATTAACAGTTTCAAATTGTAACACCTAAAGTTTCCCCACACAGACTTTCTCTGAGTGAACCACCTAGGTACATTTACACGATTCACCCACAGTGGGCACACCCTTTGCTCTTTTTTGGAAGATCTGGCTCCTGCGCATTCATCTCCAGCCCTTTCTTGGCACTAGCCAGGTCCCTGTTATGAAGGTTTATCAATGTGAGTAGCTAATTATTAATGTGACACATTCATTCTGCATATAGTAAATGTTTATAAATAGAAGTGAAAGACTTTAAAATTGTTCAGTTTTACGTAATTCTTTTTTGTGAAACGAAGGAAGAAATAAAAAAAAATAAAATAGAAAATGGGGGAAAAAATTAAACTGTATCAGAAGCTGCTATTGGGGCAGAATTCCACGTCTCTCAGTGGCTGTTTTATGTGATTAGATACAGATGCTGCCGGATCATATTGGACCCATCTGCGTGCTGAACTCCACCTGTCCCTTGTGCCGGTGCTAGGTTACCTATTAGAACAAGCGTTGTGCTTTGTTTAGTGTTAAGAATGCCACAACACTCAATTTTGGTGGTGTTTTTCCTTAAGTTTGTTTTAGATTTATTTGTTGTTGCAAGACGTTCTGTAGAAGTGCCAGCAGCACTGTGGCTGGACACTTCATTCTTGCGGGGTTCAGCAATGGTTGTCTCAGTACAGTTTAGCCTGCGTCAGTAATGTGATGCTCTGTGTGGAGAGGAGGAGCAGATGATGTAGAGTGACAGACTGTGTTTGAGATTTGCTTTGAATGAGCTGGGTATGTCAAACTACAGCTGGTCAGCTGGCAGCTTAAATTCCACACAAATGACACTCTTGAAAGCTGAGATTGCAATTTAACAGGATTAGGTGGGATTTGCAATCTAGTGAGATGACTAACATTAATACAGAGGGCTTGAATTTCAGTGTGGGATTGTGGTTACTGTGCATAATTTAATAGATTCCTACAAATACAACCCTTATAATGAAGGAAATTCCCACACACATTTTAGGGTGATGTCTAATAATGTTCAGCACAATGCACTGGTGTAGAACACCAGATGGTTGTCTTCAAGGCTCTTTTAAACAATGCCTTCTTATTAAGAGTTTTTCCTTCATACATATAAACAAAAAGAGAAAAGGATTACAGATGATCTGTGTATGTGTGTGTATCTATCTATATAACCTCACGTGTTAACCTCTTCGACATGTCAATGGCTGTGAACAAAGAGAAACTTGTAAATAACTCATGAAAGAATAAAGTTACGTTGAAACCAAGCACACCATATACTAATGTGCCACAAACAGGACTTTAATATCACCAACCATTCACATGTTATTACGGTGTATCCATATAAATGGCCTACCCTTTGTGTGTGTGTGGTGTGTGTGTGTGTGTGTGCTGTGTGTGTGTGTGTGTGTGTGTGTGTTTTGACTAAACAAAGAAAGCGATTCTGGGAATTCACTTGTTGTATAGGATGTATAGACACATCTGTATGCTGTCCAAATCAATGCTGTGCATAGGCAGAAAGCAGACTAGTGAAGCGTTAGCTGAAACAGGAAAGAGAGCAACCGTGAAGTTCACCACAAAGAGGAAGAGGCAAAGACAATGAATGCCGTTAACAGTTTCATTGTTTTTAACATTCACTTTATTACAAAGAAATTATGTTTCCATTTTTGTCTCCTCTGTGGAATATCAACAGCACCTGGACAACAGTATCCCACATTCTTGATGCTGCACAGTTGCAAGATGTAGATGTGAGTTTGTAATGCTGTGTAGCACCTTCAGACTACATGCACACTTCCTGATTAACTGGGTCAGAGTACATCTGCCACTCTCACCAATTTATTCATTAAACATCACTTTGTAGCTGGATATTGGTCACTAGTGCTCATTTCTGGCTCCAGTTAGCAAGGTAACCCCCTAATGTATTCACAACCTCCCCTCATATCACTTCATGGTATCCCTTGTTTTTATCATTAGTTGCTTCATTCATTTGCATCAAGGATGAGAAAAATTGAACTCAGGGCCCACTGCCAGCAGTTAGTTCACCTGTCATCCCTTGAACTTGCTTGATGTCATTGACTTACTAAGTTTCTGGTGACAACAGAAACTTCCTGTATGAACGCCCTTTATAACCCTGAACTGAGCTGCTCCTTTGTAGAACCATGGTGCTGATGTTACAGAGCACAGAAAAAAGCATTCTATGGACGGGAACGGGGGTGAAAGAAACACCACTTCAGAGCTTGGCCTTCTAAGAGCAGTCTGAGTGTCTGATTTTTTGGGAAAGAACAAAAATGCCATGGAAACTAAGGAAAAAAAGCTGTGAAAATAATGCTCAGAGAAACAGCAGCAATGTTGTAGTTGGAGAAGAATGACAGAACACAAACTGAGTACAAGTAGCGAGCATAACATGACTTGAACTTTTAGATTCTTGACTCACAACAAGGGACAACTCTGGGGTAGTTGTAGGATTTTAGTTACAAGAGAGAGAAAAAGGAGCAAGGACACAGAAGTAAACTCGTTCTTTGCTGACATAAGGCTGATGACATCCACACACACATACACACTCTGTGGCACACACAGACTCAACTGTGCAACCCAGCCAGTGCACTGCATCTCATTCAGACTTCACTAATTTCATTTTCCAAACTTTATCAAATTCCCAAGTTTATTTGCAGCAAAGAATGAACAGACCATGGTGGTGGAGGCTACAGGTTAACAAGCTGGGCACAGCAGTGCTCTGCTTCCTGTCATTCTGAGGATTAGTCAGAGCTAGCAAGGCTCCCTGAAGACCAAATCCAGCTCCAGCAGCAGCAGCAGCAACAGGAGCGGTTGATGGGAGAAAGATGCAGTACACTGAAAGCAACAGTGCATTACAAAGTAGTAACAGTTCATGCACACACACTGGGTTAAAAAACACATCCAACAGCAGAACAAGACAACACGAAAATGTTGTTTGTTTTATACCCAGCCAGAATGCATCAGAAATAATCAACCATAACATTCAAACACTAAAACGTTTTCTTTTCTGCTGAGGAATGGAAGTAAATAACTACATTTTTCATCCTAACCCAAAACAATGTCAACAATAATATGTTCTATTTTTTTTTTAATTATTGTAAAATTATTATAAAACAATAAATCTGAAGATTCCTGGATATCAACATTTTGATGATTACCAGTACTATGGCAGCTGTGGCATAAACCTTACACTGAGTGGTCGTCTGCCACATCTAGTGGGATATTTTTGTGAATGAATGTATCATATTAAACTTTGTATTTCAAATATATACTGTGCCAATCATGGATGCTCATGTTAACCATGGCAAATTTCAAACAGGTTTATATTCATGAAGGGCAATCAATCTGAAAATACTTGGTTAAAAGGAGCAAGAAGAGAGTTCAAATGGATGACCAAGAGCTGCATTCACATTATCTCATACAATCATCTTTAGATTTTTATACATAATTACTTAAACATTGTAAGTAAAGAGCATGGTTTTAAAGTTCAAAATTGCTTGCTGTGTAAGGCCCATTGAAACTGCATAACATGCCCCAAACCTAAGTATTCATGCATTTGAAGTAGGGCTGCCACGATTAGTCGACTAGTCACGATTACGTCGACTATCAAAATCGTCGACGACTGATTTAATAGTCGACGCATCGTTTGAAGCTTTGTAAGATCACAAAAGACGCAGGAATAATAGCAGGATTTAAGTTATATTTTAGATAGCAAGGAGTTTATTAAACTTCACCGAAACAATCTGCAAATTTCATTAAAATTTAATAAACTATCACCTTGTCTTTATTTTTAGTTAGCACATACCTGAAACACTTAAAGCTGTAAGCTAATGATGGTTATATAAGAGCAGATGCTGCTGGTGCAATAAGCTGTACGTTTTACGTCCAGTGGATGATGATCTGATTAGTCGACTAATTGCAAAAATAATCGGTGACTAGTCGACTATCAAAATAATCGTTTGTGGCAGCCCTAATTTGAAGATTGTGCCTTCAACACCATATCTTACAAATAACACACAGTCCACTGGGATTACAGCATAAGAAAACAACATCTGACCTCTTGAACTTGTATGTGTTGCTCTAACCAGCACTTCCCTACAAATTGCTGTCTTGTCCCATGCCTCCTGCTCCTTCTCTCATTCCCTTGGGGCCTATACAGAAAGAGGCTGTGTAGTATTGCAGACACACAAAGCTGCCTGCTCTTTCCCCTGCTACAGATTACACACATACACACTTACAGTGGTGTATAAAAGCTAGTCCCCACATTCTCTGGGGAGGAGTGTGTGAGAAAAAAAATGAACATCAAAATATGAACATCAATATGAACATCAAAATATGCATGCATGCATATTTTGAGCACTCCTCCAGATTCAAACAAAGGAAATCAACAGGGAGCAAACTGACTAAACACCAATCCTGATGCATCATCTGCATGTAGTTTACACAGTAACAATCAGCATCCCAAGAAACACAGCGTTCGGTTTCTCAGCAACTCACGCAGTTCACACAATCGCCATTCTCAGCTTAAGCTATCAGACAGACCAGAACTACAGTAGCTTTGTTTGTACAGGCTGATGGGAGGAAGCAGTCAGACGTTATGGATGGTAGGCATATAAAACAAGCACTATTTTCAGTGTAATCCCAAGAAACTAAAATTAAGGATTACAAAAACAAACAAAAGCTCAGATGGAGGAGGAGGGATAGCAAAAGATAGATGGTGAATAATTAATTAACTGTGGCATGTAAATGCATTTTGGTGCATCAACAGGGAATAGAGAGCACAAAGAGGTGCATCCAAACAAACAGACAAAATGGAAAAAGTAAAATGTGGAGCCCTGTGATGATCCAGCGCGGTGGCACACAAAGCAGGCCA